CTCTAAATAATGTCTCTAGATCTTGGACAAGTAAGTAAGTAGGAAGAAAGAAAGAAAGAAAGAAAGAAAGAAAGAAAGAAAGAAAGAAAGGAAGAAAGAAAGAAAGGGAGAAAGAAAGAAAGAAAGAAAGAAAGGACGGACTGTGGTTATAAGCCCGTCACACCAGCTTCCCAAAGCTGCAGTTGCAGAGGCACCATCCATGTACCTACTGCTTTAGAGTGGAGAGATTACCTGGGTGTTTCCCAGACACCACGGAGGACTGGTGCTGAACTGATCTAATGTTAGGAGAAAAGTATGTGCTTGTGTGTGCCCATGTGAACTGTCTAGAGGTCTCACGAGAAGCACCACGAGGTGGTGGAAAGCAGCGGCAGAATGGCCTCGGCTTTGACCCAAGCTAAGCCACTGATTCTCTAGCTTTGACTCCTTTCCAGTTGATTGCATCAAAACGATGCCGTGACCGCACTCACACAGTTGGCACATGATTTCTCCTTCCCCACAGAGCTAATTCCACTAAAGTTCTTCACACTGTCAGAAGGGCTCTGCTAAAATACTGACATGTAATTTCTACACTCAGGGAGGCATTCCATGCATGCTGGGCTGTGTCCTTCCTCTGAGACGAGGACATGGACCACAGTCTTGATGGGGATGGGCACAGCCTTCTTCTCTCCTTCACTCAGCCGTGGATAAACCTCACTTTCTCAGTCAAAGTCTCCTGTTGAGGAAGTGTCTGGCTTGGACAAATGGCCAGAATTTGAGCGATGTGATCAGTGACAGCTTTATCCTTTTTTATGAGTTATTCTCACTGCTGCTTCTCGGACTCTTACATGTCCCATGTATGAGAGGATACTGATGTCACGGAGAGGCACCGGGGCTGATTCAGTGCACAGGATTGGCTGTAAATGAAGGAATGGGGTTACAGGATAGTTACAATTTAATTACCTGCTTGTCAATCGTGTTCTGTTTACAGCATGTCACTGCGTGACAGCTTACCAAATGCAGCGAGATGAGTCTTTCAAGTTCACACGGGAGTCTTTGGTCTCAAAAGTTTTGTCTTTCCAACCCTTGAATCAACGTGGCACGCGTCTAGTTAAGAGATTGCATCCGATGAAAACCCAGGTTCAGGCCGGCAAATGGACCCATCAGAATTATATGAATATATGGGGTTTTTTTCATCTTGCAACCCAACATATTTTCACTGGCTTATACAGTTGTTTCTCCAAAAGCAGTGAGGTTCAATTTTAATAGATAGTGTGAACATGAAAACGGAAAAATTGAGAGCTAAGTTTGGATCATAAAATGATGAATGTTTACGAATTGACTCTTACAGGAATGTCACCTGTGTAGCTGTAGTGGTGGTGGGTTTAGTTACAGGGCTTACTCAGGGCTTTCTAAAATGCCAGTGACCCTTCATCTGCTACAGTTACCAGGTGAAACATGTGAGGTCTCAGCACGGTGTCTGCAGGCTGTATGTTTATGGGGGGGTATTCCAGATGCTCTGCTGCAGAAGGGGTTTTGTACTGTGAGGAAGCTCACTTGTCTGTGTGTTTTGTTCTCGTGGCTTTGTGATCTCTGGCTTGATTAGACTTCTAGCCGGTGAGAGAAGATGGTGGGATGTTGAGTGTCTCTGCCCACTGTTCAGTTACCTCCTTTTTGCCTGAAGGGGAATAGATTTCTTAGCTTTGTGGAAATGAGATTCGAGGAACACTCTGTCTGGAGTGAGGTTTCTCCTCACACTGGGCTCCATATTAGGCACAGCTTTAAGAAGGGTCCTGTGAGGACCAACCAAGACAGAACAGTGTGGTCAGGATACAGTGGGCATGGTGCATCCACACTGGTCTGCTCTGGCACAGACCTTGGGGAAGATGGCTTTTGGTTGACAGAGTCATAGCAATATTTGTGTTTTAAGGGATCCCCTACTGCTCTTAAAATTTTAAAAATTAAAAACCCCCATCCATTTCAGTTTCTTAAAAATTGTAATTAAAAACTTCCTTTGGTGCGTGTGGTGTTATGCCCTTGCGTGGAGTCCAGCGCTGTGCTTGGTGTCTGCCCTAGGTTGATGTTTACCTTACTGTTTTCTGACAGGGTCTCTCATGAACCTAAAGCTCAGAGATTAGTCAGCTACACTGGCTGGCCAGTGAGCTCTGGGGATGTCCTATGTCACCCCCACTCCCTCCTAGGCTGTAATTATAGGCACACACTACCACACATGGCCTTCACATAGGCCCTGAGGATCTAGATGAGGTCTTCCAGCATGTACGCATGCCAGGCAGGAGAGTGAACCGTCTCCCTAGCTGAAAATCGCGTTTTCTTAAAACAAATAACTGATTTTTTCCATAAATGTTTACAAAACAATACAAAGGCCATGCAACATAAACTAAACTCCAGGCACTAGAAAGAGTAAAATGGGATGTATCGCCTTCCTACTTGGTGGATGGCAGTCACAGGGCCAGTGGGGTGACATCAAGTCTTCTGGTTGTACTTCTGGTAACGCCCTCCCTGGAATAATGAGGGAAAAGCTCTTCTCTCAGCCAGCAGCTAAAATGCAGTGACTCAGATCTGCCCCTGTGCCTTTTTTTCTCCTGAAGGTGTTGGTTGGTAGAGGAGATTACCTAGAGGTTGGCCCCCTACACATCTGAGGAAGAGTTTGTGTCCCAAGGTCTCAAGGTCCCCAGCTTAAGACACAAACCATAACAACCAACAGCCTCAGGTACAAAGGTCAGTCAGTATTCAGGATGGAGAGCTGCACGTCCTTACTGCCATCCAGTTTTGGTGACCGGTGACTGCTTTGGGGGAACTTGAACAGGCTAGTTCCTTTTACTATCTTGTTCCCTGAGCCCAGCAGCTGCTTTGTGTGTCTGGGGAGAATAAGAAATCGGTCAGAAGGCTGGTAACGTAGCTGAGTAGGAAGAGTGCTTGCCTTAGCATCCGTGAAATGGTGTCCAAACCTCAGCTCTGAATGCACAGTGCAAGGGGATGCACGCCTACAGTCCTAGCACTTGGGATTGGAGGCAGGAAGCTTAGGAGGTGGAGATCTCACCTATGCAATGAGACTGAGGCCAGCTAAGATACAGGAGACCCTGTCTCAAAAGAAACAGTGACTAGAAGCAAAATGACAGCACTGAGTATATTTGGTTGGCCTCCAGACACACTGGGAAGAGCTACTCCCTGTCCTTTGAGATGAATTTTTCTGGGTCCCTAAACATCTTTGGACAACGAGAAGCGAGTAATTGCACAGAGTTAGCCATGAGCTGGCTCTCCCTTCATAGCTGGAAAATCAAAGTGGAAACACTTGAGCATGGCCAGCCATGCACCCAGGCTTTCAGGTAGGAAGTCAGCTTCCTGGAACCATTTTAGACTACCAGGTGTTTGCAAGAGTATCGGCTCCTAAGATGTGTCCTGCCTATAAAATGCTGCTTGTGACATTCGTGTATTGGTATTGGCCCTGCCTGAAATATTAACCCTTTAAATGCAGATGAAATACTTCCAGTGGGGCTGGAGAGTTTGCTATGTTGCTAATAGCACCGGATGCTCTTCCAGGGGATCTGTATTTGAGACTCAGCACCTACATGGTGGCTCATAACCATCAGCCCAGTTCCAGAAGATTTGATGCTCTCTAATGGTTTCTGAAGGCACCAAGCATTCATGTGGTCCACAGACACACATGCAGGCAAAAACATCTACATTTATTAAAAAAAGAAAAGAAGAAAGATATATAGACAGACAGACAGATGGAAAGAAGGAGGGAAGGAAAGAAAAAAGACAACAGACAGACTTCCAGTGGAAGCTTAGTTCACCATGATTGATTCTCGAGGCTGGGTGTCAGGTATGCATGGTTTTATTTAAAATGTGTCCAATAAGATTTTTTTTCCACTTAGAATGAACATTTTACCTCTGTCTGCATGTTGTCATAAACATTATCTCTTCATTTCATGGAGTTTCTTCGAAAGTTCTAGGTGATTTAACAGAAGAGTAAAATGAAAGTGTGGGGAGATTAAATAACGGGGAGGTCACACCACAGCGAGGGTGCTCTTGCCTCAAGTCAGGGACACACAAGTGACTAGTGGGTGAAGTAACAGACCGGGTCATGCAAGTCCCCTTGTGTCACCTGGTGTCCTTTGGCAGTTCTGGTGTCTCCTGTCACTAGCACGGAAGACAAAGTGAGTCCGTCGACATCGGCAAAGGGGAAATTGTCTTCTGGTAGCTGAGCGGAGACAGACACAGAAGCACTGTTGCTGGAGCGATCCCTAACGTCTGAAGAGACTGTTCCCTCAGGCCATCGGCTGATCTGAGCACCCAGGGAGGGGCACCTCATGTCCTGAACCCCTCTGGTGGCCGCAGCACCCCCCGCCTGTCATCAAATGGCACTGATTTATCTTCCAACAGCAGCACAGCACAAGATAGGCATGGGAGCACATTTTAATCAAGTGGGCAGTTGTAGTTTTAAGTCAGCACTAAAACCTGGCAATGTTAGATTTGTGTTTTCATGAGCCAAAAGGTCATAGCATGAATGAGGTCTAAATGTCATCACAGAAGACCACAGGCCACAGAAAGAAAGATACGTCTTCAAGTTATGTTGACCTGCCAGGAAGAGAAACAAAGAGAGATCTCAGCAAACAGGGGCCGGCAGGCCCAGTGGTGTGCAGCGCTCCTGACCTGGGAACAGCCCCTTGTATATGGAAATGAAGTGGGCGGGGCATTGAGTTCCCTCGGGGCTGCTCACAGCTGCTGTCATGGAAAGAAGCTAAGGGCAATTCAACAGGTGGTCAGAGGGGGGCGGGCTGGGGAACGTCATCATCTCGGCATTTGTTCTAAAGTGACTTAGAGACGGTCATTTATTATGGAAACATAATCCCGAACAGTTTGCTCTTTCTCTCCGTAAACACGTCAGTTCATAAATAACTTAAGTGTGTCCTTTGCATTCAGAACACAGTTCTGGCTGGAGTAGAAAAGGGTAGAAGATGCGCAGCGGTGAAGGAGATGGCAGGGTGGAGTGTGGACGGGCGGCTCGAGTATCTGGGGCGCGTGCAGGCATCAGCCGTCAGACACGGGCGGGGTGACCCAGCCGTACTTCTCGTGTGTCTTCACCAAACTCTTGAAGGTTGCTTCAGCTTCCTTGCGGCTGAAGGACTTTTTTGACTTGCCGGCTTTTCTGCAGATCCGTCCCTGTGTGAGATGGAAAGAGACACCAGGTTAGCGGCTCAGCAGCAGATCTTTCTGTCTCCTGATAGGTTTGTCAAAGGCACATAAGGTGGTAGGCCATTTCTGATGTTTGAATCAAGACGTGTTGACCACAAGCAAGGGTGGGCACTCTCATGGATCAGAGGTGGGGTGTGACAGCTTTGGTGGAGGGCACATTGTGGAGCCAGGGACTGTAAACCATTTAGGGTGCAGGACAGCCTCTGCTTTGTTCAAAATGGTTCCATTTGTAAGGCTGGAAGGCAGTCTCCCTGCATCCCTGAGATACAGCTGAAGGGTCCCTTAGGAAAATAGCATCAATTCAGACCGAAACAAACAGCAGTCTCAGGGGAACTTCACGATTCAAGTATAACTTCTGGATTTTCTGTGATCTTCATGGAAATAAACACACACACACACACACACACACACACACACACACACACACACACA